TGTGAACCAGTGATGGGCAAAATTGTATTTACTAAGTATTAAATACTAAGTACAAAAGTATTTAGGTATTTTGTGTTGTTGTAAATACCAAAGTACTATTTACTTAGGTATTTAGGAGCTGCTAAATACCCAAGTACTATTTACTTAGGTATTTAGGCGCTGCTAAATACCCAAGTAAACAATACTTAGGTATTTAGGAGCTGGTAAATACCCATGTAAAAAATATTTAGGTATTTAGGAGCTATTAGATATTAAAGTAAGAAATACTTGAGTATTTAGGAGCTGCTATATGCCAAAGTACAAAAGACGAAAGTATTTAGTAGACGCTAAATACTCTGTACCAAAGTCCCCATGTACCTTGGGGATGCAAAATACTTTCACTAAAGTACCAAGGTACTTAGACCCATAGACTAAATACCTCGGTACTTTACTTTACTTTCAAACTAAATACTGTATAATTTAGGAGAACTCTAGAGAATTAACACCTCACCTTACACTCACCTCAACTTACTTTACCACAACTCACTTCACCTCTCCTCAAATCAACTCACCACATACAAACTCACCGCACGTTCTACTGCTACACCAAAATCCACCAAATCTTTACTCACCATAGTTGAACTCATCACACCCGTTCTCACCACACCTCACCTAAACTCACCACACCTCAATTTGAGAAATGTTTCGGGATTTGAGAGATTCTTCAGACTAAATCAGGATTTTCAAGACTATTTCGGGGTTTTCGGGACTATTTTGGGATTTTCGAAGCTATTTAGTAATTTTTAGGGATTTAGGATTTGAGATTTTCGGGATTCTCGGAACTAATATGGGGATTTTCGAGACGACTTTCACAATATTTAGGGATTTTTGGAACTATTTTCGGGAAATTTGGACTTTTGGGATTCTTGNCGGGTTTTTCGAGACGACTTTCACAATATTTAGGGATTTTTGGAACTAGTTTCGGGATTTTTGGGACTTTCTGGATTCTCGGAATTAATAGCGGGATTTTCGCGAGAATTTTGAGATTCTCGGGCATTTTGGGACTCCTGGACAATTTCTGGACTAATTTCAAGTTTTTAGGACTTTCGGAACTGTTTCGGGATTTTTGGGCTTTCGGGATTCTCGGAACTAATATCGGGATTTTTGGGACTTTCGGCAGTATTTTGCAATTCTCGGGAGTAATTTCGAAATTTTTGGGACTCCGGGACTATTTTTCGATTTTTGGGACTTATATCGGCCTTTGGGCACGGTGGGCAGGAAGCGAAGATAGGTTGCATAAAAATGTCGACAAAATCTGAAAGCAGGGTTGTATTTGTTGATATCTTAAGGTTAAGAATCCGCTTAAATTGAAATCCTAGCTGCTCCTGTTTTAAAGATATCCACATTTTATATACTTCTGATAGGATATATTTGGAAGGCGTACTTCTCGATAATTAGAGCATATTTATACGAAAAGAAATCTCATACAAATCTGTTCCCCTTTTCTAACTCACAAAAGGGATCAAATCAATGTGAAACATTTTAATTTTTTCCTACCGAAAGAATAATTGATCGAGATTTATTGGGCGCTACCGGTATACAACTTAGATAAAACACCACAATTACCTTTTTCTGTAGCGTGAACTTTCTCATTACAAACACTTTCAATATCGCAATATATGTATGTATGTATACAATATTGTATGCTATATAATACGGTAGTAATTTTTTATTAAAGGTTTGTTGCTATAAGCAAGTAGCGCAGGCAAGTCGCACTGCGCTTGTGCAAGAAATAAAAATGCTCTAACTTAGGCCAACGGTACTCCGCATAATAAGTAAATAAATTCAAAGCTTGTATGGGGACTATTTCCAGATTTTTGGGGCTTATTTCGGATTTACGGGGTTTTCGGGATTCTTGAGAATAATTTCGGGACTGTTGGGACCTTCAGGGCTATTTAGGGTTTTTTGGGACTAATTTCGGATTTTTGGGACTCTCGGGACTAGTTCGGGATTATCTGGAGTAATTTAGGTATTTTTGGGACTTTCGGCACTATTTCCAGATTTTTGGGAATAATTTAGGATTTTTGGAACTTTCGGGTCTTTTTCGGAATTTTTGGGACTAATTTAGGAACTTTGGGACTTACGGAACTATTTCAGGATGTTTGGTATTTTCGGGACTATTTCGTAATTCGCTGAACTGATTTTGCTATTTTGGGACTAATTTCGGGACTTTTGGAGCTTTAGGGAGTATATCGATTTTTTTGGGACTTTTGGAATTTTGAGACTTTCGGGACCATTTCGGGGGTTTCAGGAGTACTACGGGATTTTTGGGATAATTTCGAATTGTTGGGGCTATTCCTCCATTTTTGGGAATAATTTAGGAATTTTGGACTTATTTCGGATTTTTGGAACTTTCGGGACTATTTCGGGATTCTTTAGGGAGTAATTTAGGTATTTTTGGGACATTCGAGCTATTTCCAGATTTTTTGGACTTATTTTAGATTTTTAGAACTTTCGGGTCTTTTTTGGGACTTTCGGGAGTATTTCGGAATTTTTGCGGCTTTCGAAACTATTTCGCGCTTATAATGACGAATTTCAGGACTTTCGGGACTATTTTGAGTCTCGGAACTAATTTTGGGAATTTCGGGGTTCTTGGGACTAGTTTCGGAATTTTTGAGACTACCTCAGAGTTTTTGGGTCTATTTTTAGTGTTTTGGGACATTTGAGGCCGTTTGGGGATTTTTGGGACTAATTTCGGATTTTTGGGACTTTCGGGACTATTTTTTGATTTTTGAGACTTTCGGGGCCATTTGGGACTAATTTAGGAACTTTAAGACTTTCGAAACTATTTCATAAAGTCCCAAAATTCCCGAAACTAGCCCCAGGGATCCCGGAAGTCCCAAAAGCTCCAAAGTAGTTTTGAAAATATCTAAATCCAGGCAGTCCCAAAAATCCGAAATTATTCCCAAAAACTCTAAAATAATCCCGAAAGTCCCGAAATCAGTTCCGAGAATCCCGAAATAGTCCCAAAAGTTCCAAAAAGTCCAAAATTCCCAAAAGTCCGGAAATTACTCCCGAAAATCCCGAAATAGACCCGAAAGTTTCAAAAATCCAAAATAAGTCCCAAAAATCTTTAAATAGTCTCGAAAGTCCCAAAAATACCTAAATTACTCCCGATAATCCCGAAATAGTCCCAAGAGTCCCAAAATCCCTAAATAGCCTTGAAAGTCCCAACAGTCCCGAAATTAGTTCCAAGAATACCGCAATAGTTCCGACAGTTACAAAAATCCGAAATAAGTCCCAAAAATCCCTAAATAGTTCTCAAAGTCCCAAAATTCCAAAAATGGAGAAATAGTCCCGAAGGTCCCAAAGATCCGAAATTAGTTCAAAAACCCGAAATACTCCTGAAAACCTCGAAATGGTCCCGAAAGTCTAAAAAATCCAAAAGAAATCCCAAAAAAATCGATATACTCCCGAAAGCCCCAAAAGTCCCAAAATTAGTCCCAAAAATCCCGAAATCATTTCCGAGAATTACGAAATAGTCGCAAAAATCCTGAAATAGTCCCGAAAGTCTCAAAGTGCCTAAATTAGTCCCAAAAATCTCGAAATGGTTCCGCAAGTTACAAATATCCAAAAATGGTTCTGAAAGTCCCAAAAATCCCGAAAAACTCCCTAAAATCTGAAATTATTCCCAAAATTCTGGAATGAGTTCCGAAAGTGCCAAAAATCCCGAAATTACTCTCGAAAGTAAATTCATTTTACTTGAATATTTACTCATCTCCAAATACTAAGTATTTGTGTATTTAGTACCCAAAGTGGTACTTTAAGTACAAAAGTATTTAGGTGTGCCCATCACTGGTGTGAACTATATATAAGAAATTAGCAAATTAAAAGTTCATGTTAAACACCGCACAGTGTAGATATTGACAAAATTTTATATCTCGAAAACAAAAACATCTAGCGAAATAGATTTAACAGCATTTTAAAGCCTTTGAGATAGAAAATCGAGGAAAAATTATTTCGTTGGATAAAAAAAAGTTGCCTTCACCTTTCAAATCACCATCAAATTAGGGGGTTCTCATTTGATTTCATTTTTTTACCTGAAAACAGTATGAGGTAAACTTTTTAAAAAGTTTTAAACAGATATTTTTGGTGTTCTTGCATCAACGAATTTCACAGACTAATAGTGTTTTTACGCTAATTTTTATTACATAACAAAGACTCAAGAGTGTTACATATATGTTTCAGCTCGTACAGACACCCCTTTATAGAGGTCGAAACTTTTTATTATACATATCCTCACTTTTAGTATCCTCCAAAGTTTGGTTCCCCTAAATTTCCTCTTTTACTTTCGCGTTTAATGAGTTAATACTAACTTATAAAAATTTGCTTGCCGAACACAGCTTCATCTATTTGGAAAAATAATCACATAATTGGATATAATCAAATGATTAAAAACAATCAATTAATTAAAACTAATCAAATAATACAAAAAAAATGGCAATTAGTCATTATTATTTTTGATAATTACAATTAATAATTAATTATAATGGCTGGGTTATATAAGAAAATTAAAATAATTATTAAAATTAAATTAAAAATGCGAAAAAATAATGATTACTAATCGTAATGAAAATTTAACAGCTCTGTTTCAAAGTATCAAGGAACTTCAATTGCTTTATATGTTAAGAGTACTTCGAAATACTGATTACTCATTTTAATCATAATGTTGATTAATCATAAAGCAAATTACTCAAACATTTTTGTAGCTGAACTTTTGAGTAATTTCCAATTAATCGAATGATTGAGTTATTTACGTTATGATTAATTAAAATATTGAATAATCAATTAATCGCACAGCCCTAGTCCATACGTAATTAAAAAGTTAAAATGAAATCAAGTGTTTAACGGTGCAAACGGGAAGTAAGGTGCAAACGGCTGATTTTTAAAAACCATTTTCATTTTTACCTTAATGTCAATGCATTTTTTAACACAAATGTATATATATCCCTCTTACTTAGGTATCATAACAATAAAATGGTGAACTATGACTCACAAGAAGGATTTTCTGTTATATCTACTACTGTAGCTGATACTACTGTGGACGATGATCTACACATTTTCTCTGAAAAATATTTCATTGGCATAGGAAAGAAATTTAACAGTGATTTGCAAATGGAAAGTAAAGCCAACGGCCATTATACGGAAAAGCCACTGCGATTTGCATTGAAACCACAGCAATCACCTTATTTAGTATCTCCAACGTCTAGTATTTTGACATTAGAAGTAGTGCATTTTCATCATGCAGGCAACTATACTTGTGCCCCTTCGAATGCGAAATCAGTCAGTATTACTGTACATGTCTTGCGAGGTAAGTAAGATCGAAATTATAAAAGACAAACTTTGTCGGCAAATTATTTATCTGATAATCTACTTGCCCCTCTATATGCCGCTGTGGGAGATTTGATAGATCTAGTAAGATATTGGGCCGTATGAATAAAAACTAAATAATTGCTTTTTGTTAAAATTTCAGACGTTTTACTCGATTTATTCAAATAAATTTAAATAAAAAGTCTGATAATATAACGATGAGTTCATGATCAATTTGAATTTTATGTTGTTATTGTTGTTTGTACTAGGCTATAATGATCAAATAGGCTCATGTGCAAGAAAATACTTTCTTCACTTTGCTGCCCGACGTTTCGCCAACCTCCTTGGCATCTTCTGGGGCGTTTTCTTTATTAAATATCGACAAGAAACAAATATAAGGAGGTTATTATTATAATATAATTTGTTGATATGTACACGAAACAATTGTACACACAAAAACAAGGAACAAATTTTGTATTTAATCAGGGACAATTAGCAATTTTAACCTCATACCGGACTTTAAACACTTTTGTGAAAACATTGAAAAACTTACATTTGAAAAATAAACTACTAAACTACACTTAACATTTAAACTTTAAAACTTTTAAGCAGCGTTCATACCATCACCCTGCGGTACATTTGTCTTTTCTTGCACATGAGCCTATTTGATCATTATAGCCTAGTACAACCAACAATAACAACATAAAAAGTCTGATATTTTGAGAAAAAGCAATGGCTTGGATTTTATTCATACGGCCCATTATTATACCCGAGCGCACTTGTGCACAAGGGTATTATAACTTTGTTCACATAACGGTTGTTTGTAACAGGCAAAACGAATCGAGATAGATATAGACAAATGTANTATTATACCCGAGCGCACTTGTGCACAAGGGTATTATAACTTTGTTCACATAACGGTTGTTTGTAACAGGAAAAACGAATCGAGGTAGATATAGACAAATGTATACATGAATGATCTGAATGAAGAGAGAAATCGTTTAAGCGGTGACTGTCTGTCCGTCCGAACGTCCGTCCGTCTGTCCGTCTGTGCACACGGTAACTCGAGTAAAAATTGAGATATCTTAACGAACCTTGGTACGTGTACTTCTCTTGGACGCAGGACCGATAGTATTGAAAATAGGCAAAATCGGACAATAACCACGCCTACCTCCCATATAACGGTAATTTTCAGAAATACGAAAACTGCGATATTTTAGTAACTACTG